CACATCTTTACAAGGCATTTAAAATGTCTTTAAATAAATTAGTGTTAATTGTTGATGACAACAGAATCAAAACAAGATGATGGTTTTGTGGGACTATATTGGAAAAGAATAGCTGGTTGACTTTGTTTAAGAATCAAAGTGGTACTGGGTTAGAAAGATTTTTTACATCATCTTGATGAAGTGATATCTAAAGAATAGAGCAGAGCAGAACAGAATAGAATAGAGGAATGAAGAATGAAGAATGATGAATGGAATAGAATTTAGACATTGGAATGGAATGGAATGGAATAGAATAGAATAGAATAGAATAGAATAGAATAGAATAGAATCAGGTGGGATTCTACCGGTTCTGTCCGGCTCTACAGAACCGGTAGCTCTGAAGAGCAGTAGACACAGAACCGGTTCTGTGTCTGCTGCTGTTTTGGCCCACCCGCCTGCCCGGGCTCTTACCTGTCCTTTATTTCCTGCTTTTCAACCGCAGCTGTTTTGCGTGGCACAGCTACGGTTGAAAAAGCAGGAAAAAAGGGCTCTTCCAACCGCTGTGCACCCGCACACAGTGCTGCTCAGCTGTCCGGGCAGCTCAGCAGGTCGTAAATTGTACTTGCACAGAACAGAACAGAATAAAGAATGGAATGGAATAGAATAGAATAGAATAGAATAGAATAGAATAGAATAGAATAGAATAGAATAGAATAGAATAGAATAGAATAGAATCTATCCATCCATCCATCCATCCATCCATCATCTATAGTATCTATCTTCATCATATGTATCTATCCATCCATCCACCCAGCCATCTACCTACCTACCTAGCTACCTGCCTGTCTCGTGTGTGTATAGATACTTCATGTACATCCTCAAATCCCTTTTTTTCTTCTGGGCTCTTCCAAGGCCTGTGGTGAGCGGCTATGGAACTCCGACAAAAGTTCGTTTAAGGAGATCCAACAGTTTGAGTCCCCAGGGACTTCAAAGCCCCCCCCCTCCCTTTTTTTTTTTAAAAAAAATTCCGAATCTCTCCTTATTCCTGATCTCCCTTGGCTGCAGTTTTTCAGGCAAAAATGGAAAAGTACGCAATCCCCTGTCAGGCTGGGAATGTGTTGAAGTCAGAGTTCCTGGGGAGCAGGCTTCAACCAGCAGGCAAGATCAGATCCAATTCGATAAGCTCTTCAGAATCCAAGGAGATCTGATGAGATAAGCCAGAAGGGAAGCCTTCCACTCACCACTGTGTTTTAAGAGTAAGATGTACTCAGAGAATCAATGCTTAAACTCGCTTTGTCTCTCCCGCCCTATATAATGGGCTGCCCAGCTCCCTTTTCCCGGCAGGAGGCCTATTTCCATCTGTCCCTTGTTTTTGCAATGGTCAGATCTGCTACCAAGAGTTATTTTTCTCTGACGGTGTGAATGCACTAACTCTCTCACCAGGGGTGTTTTAGACCAAAAGGCCATTTTCCATGCTGTGTGGTTCCGTTTTCTGGTTTCAGAAAAGCACAACCTCTGAATTTGTTTTATTTTTTGATCAAGCATGTATTAGATCACATAGTATAAACATGATTATGAATCCATGAAATGGATAAGAATAAAAGAGGAACATTGGGACAGGGACGGGAGGCACGATGGTGCACTTATGCACGCCCCCTACAGACCGCTTAGGAAGGGGGTGAGATCAACAGTGGATAGTTTGAGGTTAAAGGAGTGGGGGTTACAGGATGTAACAACAGAGTCAGGTAGGGCATTCCAGGCGTTGACCACTCTGTTGCTGAAGTCGTATTTTCTGCAATCGAGTTTGGAGCGGTTTACTTTGAGTTTGTATCTGTTGTGTGCTCTTGTATTGTTGCGGTTGAAGCTGAAGTAGTTATTGATGGGTAGGACATGGCAATGGATAATTATTTATTACACTTAGGTCGGATTGAAGGCACTGTAGTTCAGTAGTGGCTAACCCTTTTGGGCTCCTGTGCCATCCCCCAAATGCCCCCTACACATGCACATGCAATCCCCACCCCTTACCTGCACTGGGCCTCCCAGCTGATTTTCGGCCAGTTTGAGGCCATTTTCAGCCTCCCAGAGGCTTGGGGAAGGCTTCTGCAGGCTTTTCAGGCCAAAAACTAGGCCCGTTTTATTGCTTCTGGTATTTCCAGAAAAACAGGAAGTGATGAAACGGGCCTAGTTTTTGGCCTGCAAAGCCTGGAGAAGCCTTCCTCAAGCCTCTGGGTGGCCACAAAAGGCCTCAAACCAGCAGAAAAGTCAGTTGTGAGGCATGCACATGCTCAGTGAGGTAAGTTTGTCAGCTCGCGTGCCGGCACAAATGGCTCTGCGTGCCACCTGTGGCACATGTGCCATAGGTTCGCCATCACAGTTCTAGGTTGTCTAAGCCTAAAGTTTCAAGTCTGGAGGTATAGGGTATACTGTTGTGAGTAAAGGAATGGAGGACTGTTCTCGTGAAATATCTCTGGGACTCTCTTGATTGTGTTAATGCCTGATATGCAATGCGGGTTACAGACAGGTGAGCTGTATTCGAGAATTGGTCTAGCAAATGTTTTGTATGCTCTAGTTAGTGGTACAAAATTCTCAGAAAGCATCCCTCCCTCTGGTATCCATTTTAGGTTGTGTCAGCCAGAGCAGGACATGTTAATTTCACACATTTTGTGAGGGAAAGTGCCCACCACCAAGAGAGGGCTACCACCTTTGCGTTGTGTGCCAATCTGAGAAAAACTTTCTTTCTTTTTTTTAATATCGTGAGAATTATTTCACTTCGGGATGACTGGGAATGTTCAGAGAAAAAATATTTTTATTTTTTGAGGGTGGGGGGCACTATGAGAATTGATCAGCGAGCCGTGCCATCCCAACTAAAATGTAGATAGAACATTTTGAGTAACTCCTCTTCAAAAAGGAGTATATAATTGCAGGGATACTACTATCCCTTGTGGATAAGTGAGTGACAACATTGGAATAATGAAATTTGCGGCTTCTGGAGGCAACAGGGCCATTGTCCTTGGGCTGTCAACACAAGATCTCATATCATAAGCATGAAGCAGAGAAGAGATATTTAATAAATCAGTTAAAACTTTGTCTACGGTAATATAATAATTCTGGTTTGGAGCAATGACCTTGTAAATTGTAAGAACTAAAATGGCGTTCCTTGTATCCTGATGGAACTCCTGACTGGAATTTGTGACCTTCCTTAGAAGAGGAGCATTTTTAAAAAAACAAGAAAATCGTTAAAATAATGAGATAGAAAATCAAGATTGTTTTCATGACAGCAGGCCAGAAGCGCTACTATCCCTTGAAGTTGCTCCTTTCTTTCTCTTACACAGTCTTGCAAATGATGTTGCTGCCATTTTCCTCCTTGTCTTTTTCTTCAGGAATGCTCAAAGGTTGATGGTTCTCACTGTCAGAAAAGTTCTCCTTGGTTCTAGGTTGAATCTCTCCGTGATCACTTCCCATCCATCATTCCTTGTCAGGCCTTCGGGGGCTTTGTAAAAATAAGTTGAGCCCCTCTTCTCTGTGGCAGCCCCTCAAATATTGGAACACTCCAAAGCACCAGCGGGCAAGACAAGAAGCAACGGATGGAAAGTCAACAAGAAGAGAAGCAACCTGGAGTGAAGCAAAAGCTTCCTAACAGTGAGGACAATGAACCAGCGGAACAGCTTGCCACCAGAAGTTGTGGGTGCTTCATCACTGGAGGTTTTGAAGAAGAGACTGGCCAGTTACTTGTCTGAAATGGTCTAGGGTCTCCTGCTTGAGAAGGGTGCTAGACTAGAAGACCTCCAAGGTCCCTTCCAGCTCTATCCTGATTCAATGGATGGAAACTCATCAAGGAGAGAAGCAACCTGGAATTAAGGAGAAACATCCTAACAGTGAAGACAATTAACCAGTGGAATAGAAGTTGCCTTCAGAAGTTGTGGGTGCTTCATCACGGGGTGACAGTCTGGACAGCTACCTGTCTGAAATGGTATAAGGTCTCCTATTTGAGCAGGGGGCTGGACTAGAAGACCTCCATGGTCCCATCCAGCTCTATTCTATTCTGAAATTCCCTATCCTGTCTCCCCTGGTCCTTCTCTTCACTGGACTAGCCATGTCCAGTTCCCTTAACAGTTCTTCCTATGTTTTAGCTCCAGTCCCCTCATCATCTTTGTTGCTCTTCTCTGCACTCTTTGCTCATTTCTCGGGAGTATCAGATGAGCAGAAACGGGATTCTTTCTCTCCTCCCTTTTGTCAACCCCGTTCTTGCTATGTTCCCTAATAAAAACATTGGGCGTGAGATATGACTTAAAATCAGGCGCGTGGCTCAGCTCCGGAAAGGTTATCTCCCGTCATTTTTTTAGGCCTCCATGCAGTTCTGCTCCTGTGTCATCTGTGTGCAGATATGTATTAGCCATCCGCTGTTGGTGACTTTGATTTATTTGCTCTGTAAATTGGGACCCGGGCAATAATGAAAAATGACATTAATTGTTTTAACAGAGTTCTCTTTGTCACCTCCTTTGCTTTTCCTTTGAGGAACGTCTGAAACTCCTTATGAATAAAGAAAGAAAAGAAAACCAAAACACTAATCAAAATGGCTGTGATGAGTAAGTCCAGTCTGCGTGGAGACGTTGAATGTTAGCGTGCTTCACTGTGCTTGAGGGTTTCTCTCTTTTCTTTTCTTTTTTCTTTTCTTTTCTTTTCTTTTCTTTTCTTTTCTTTTCTTTTCTCCCCTCACCCTGGTTTTTTAAAGTGCAAACACTGGAATCAGTAAAACCAAAGGATTTTTGCAAAAAGTCCATATTATCAAAGAAAGGAAGCCGACTTTGAACGAGAATTCTTTTACAGCGTTTTCTAGGTGATGGTGGCATTCATTTGGGTCTGTGTACTTGTGACCCAGTGAATATCATTTTGTCAGGGAATGCAATTAGCCCTCGACTTACAACTAGTGGTGGGATGCAACCGGTTTAACAACTGCTTTGATGAGTGCGCGCGCGCAGCGTTTAGAAACTGCCCATTTTAAGCTAAAAAACTTAGCTTCGATGTCAGCGCTGGTGAGTAAAACAGCTGATGCGCGGCAGTCTGCTGTGCCACGCAAATCAGCTGAGCTAAAAAACAGGGAAATATAGGACAGGAAAGAACAGGGGGGTGGGCAGGGCCAATTGCTCACCAGAACCACCAGTTCACTAGAACCGGTGTGAACTGGTAGAATCCCACCACTGCTTACAACAGTCTTGTTTAGTGGCCATTCAAAATTGCAACAGCACTGAAAAAAAAGTGGCAGCCTCCATGTGGTGATGCAATCAAAATTAAAATGCTTGGCAACTGGCATGGACTTATGACAGTCGTAGTGGTCCCAGGATCACGTGATCAGGGAGTGGGCTGCTGGGGGCTGACAGGGCTAGCTAAGACTCTCCAATAACCTGAGAAAGACAAGCAGCCAAGGAAAGCTCTTCATAGGCTTAATTGAAGTTCTGGGTGTTCAGCCAAGAGCATTTCACACCTGGTAAAAGTGTGGCAAACTAGATAAACAATCCACTTGGTGCTTGTGAGGGAGAGTCATGGAGAAAATCAGATAACATAGCCACTCGCCTCCGAGGGGATTAATTCCCAAATAATAAGAACCCCGTAACTCACCAGAAACTCAACTAAGACTCCAAGGTCCCTATCACAGTCACTACTCACAGTCACTGCTATTAAGCCTGGTTTCATCCAGTCTTTTATTTAAATATTCAATGCATGAAATAATAAAACAACTTTTTGGTATATATCCATTTTTTTTTAGGAAATTAGAGCAAAGAAGTGACATCAAGTTGGCCACACCTACCCAGTCACATGACCACCCAGCCACACCCACCTGATCTCATGACTACCCAATCACATGATCACCCAGCCATGCCCACCCTGCCACACATTAGGCCAGAGAGCCCCTTGCTAAAAAATTTGAAGCTCAGCCCTGGACGGGATCCCCTTTTGTGACCTTCAGACAAGTAAAGTCAGTGGGGATGCTGGATTCAATTAATGACCGGGTGACTAATTTACCAGCTACAGTGATTCACTTAACAATGGGGGCAAGAAAGGTTATAAACTGGGGTGAAAACTCAATTAACAACAGTCTTGTATAGTGTCAGAAATGCTGGTCTAAGTTGGGATTCCAGGTTGAAAATGACCCGCATTTCTTTGAATTCCTACCAAACTCAGGGATCGCATCCTGTCCCCTGGTGTTCCGTAGGACTCTCTTAAAAAAAAAAAATTCTTTATTTATTATGAAAGCAAACATTAACAAGTACAAGCATAAAACATCAAATAAAACCATCTTTCCATTACATACAGTGTGTCAGTTGGTACGTATCTTTTATGCACAATATCAACCGTCTATCTTTTCTGATTTAAATTAAACTTCATATTATATAAATCAACTATGCATATTATATTATTATTATCTCCTTATTAGACTATAATTATAAATTCACATCATCCTTTTCGAGCAAAAGCTTAACTTTTACAAAATCTAATTTATATTATCATACATTCCATTGTAGGTCTCTTTTTTCAATGGCCTTCCATTTTTTTCCCCATGGATCTGGTCTTCTTCAGTGACATTTTTATTATTGCTTCCAAAATACAGCACATTTTAGGTTGATGTTTGGCATTTCCAGTGGGCAGTTTTATTTCATCTAGTATTGCATTATTGGTCTTCTTTTAATCCAAGGAATTCTCAACAATTTTCTCCACCCCCACCTCCCAATTTTTCAAAATTGTCAATTAGGCAAGCTATAGCCTTGACTGTGTGTATCTTGACTGTCAATGCAATATATATATATATGTGTGTGTGTGTATGTATATGTATATGTATATATATATGTATGTATAGTCCAAATATTGGACAGTTCTGTTTCATGGCTACAATCTCCATTTCTGTGAATTTTTGAGCCTAGGAAGGTAACACTTTTTTTTTACTACTTCTCCTTCTATTTGCAATGAGTTACCTCTGCCCATTTGCATAAATCTTCTGGTAGGGTTTGATAAATAGCTAGATGAAATCTGAGATACTGCAAAAAATGTTCCATTTTAATTGCCTGCAATATATTGAACTGGAATATAAGAATGAATCTTCAGTACTAGAACCAATTAAATGGAAGAGAATTTAGTCTATACTTTTAACACTGATTATTATTATTACTGAAACATTTTAATGCTTGATTTTGTTGTTTTTACTTGTTGCAAGCCACCTAGAATTGTCTCCAGGTGAGATGGGTGGCATATAAAAAAGAAAGAAGGAAGGAAGGAAGGAAGGGAGGGAGGGAGGGAGGGAGGGAAAGGAAGAAACAGAAAGGAAATAGAGAGAGAGGAAGGAAAGAAGGAAGGAAGTAGAGAGACGAAGGAAGAAAGAAATAGAAAGAAAGAAAAGAGGGAAGGAAAAATAAAGAGGGAAGAAAGAAAGGAAGGAAAGAGAGAAAGAGGGAGGAAAGAAAGAAAGAAAATAGAGAGAGAAAGAAAGAAAGAAAGAAAGAAAGAAAGAAAGAAAGAAAGAAAGAGAAAGGAAGAAAGAAGAAGGAAGAAGAGGAAGGAAGGAAAGAAAGAAAGAAAAGAGGAAGGAAGGAAAGAAAGAAAAAAGAAAGAAAGAGGAAAAAAAAGAAAGAAATCAGGCAAAGCAAATTGACCGACCTCAGTAATGATTTGATTTTCCATGCAAAGGGCCTCTACACAGATTCTCACTGTGCTGCATCGTAACACCTATAACCTTGTTGTTTCCTTGTTACCTCATTAACACGCAATAAGCACAACTAGCAAAATGTCAAGAAGGGAAGTTTGCACCTAATCCGGTCAATTCATGTTGGACTTTTTTTTGGGGGGGGGGGGGGGGAAGGGGGCGGAGTGGTGATGTTTGCTTAAAATAAATAAACAAGCATGATGATTGCATTTCTGTTTAATTGTTTCCCGAATTGCTAAAGGGTAGACTTCACCAAATAGGACTTAATCCAGTTACGACCCATCTGAACTCATCCCTGTTTGGGAAAATTGTTCATTTTGAGTTTTATGCTGCTTTTTTAGATACCATCCCATTATCTTCCTAGCTGGAGCTACAGTATGTTAGTACAACATCTGCAGAGCTCTTGGCAGCTTCCTTCCTCTTTCAACTTTTGGGGAAAAGTGGATTTGGCTGCCTGCAAAACTCTTGTGCATGGACTTCTGCAGGGAACCTGAGTATTCAATTCAATCAGAATGGAGCTGGAAGGTACCCTTAGAGGTCTTCTAGTCCAAACCCCTGCTCAAGTAGGAGACCCTAGACCATTCCAAACAAGTGGTTGTCCAATTTGTTCTTGAAAGCCTCCAGTGATGGAGCACCCACAACTTCTGAAGGCAACTTCTGTTCCACTGGCTAATCGTTGGGAAGTTTCTCCTTAATTCCAGGTGCTTCTCTCCTTGGTTACTTTCCATCCATGGTTTCTTGTCCTGCCTTCAGGGGCTTTGGAGAATAATTTGACCCCTTTCCCTTCTTTGTGGCAACTTCTCAAATACTGGAATACTGTTCTCCGTGCCCCCTGGTCCTTCTTTTCTCTAGACTAGCCAAACACAATTCTTGCAGTTGTTCTTCCTATGTTCTAGTCTCCAGGCCTTTAATCGTCTTAGTTGCTCTTCTTTGAACTTTTCCCAAAGTCTCAACATCTTTCTTTTTTCTTTTTTTGTAGTCTGGTGACAAAAACTGGATGCTGTATTATGTTTTTCCAAGCTTAAATCATTAATAACAAAACAACAAATCTAAAAGAGTATGGATAAAAAAAATAAAAGGAAAACATTACCAAAAATATTTTATCAAATTACAAATGAATTAAGATTACAAGTAGGTAAAGAAGAAACTATATAAATACTATCTATATTCATATCTATCTATATTTATTTATATATTAAGTTGAAATTATATAATGAAATAAATGTGTATATAGAAAAATGATGAGGAAATGTAAAAGATGTCTTGATGTTGATATAAAGATGTATAAAGTTTTATTTTATGTTTTTAAATTTTGAAAACTAAATAAAATTTAATGAAAAAAATACAAATACAGCAAATCTCCACAATATAATATAGCTTTGTTTTTTTGCCTCCCTAAAATAGGAATCCTAATTGTGATGTATTATCTTGAAGAATGCGAGGATTGTATATGTATATGTACATGTATATGTATATGTGTGTGTGTGTGTGTGTGTATACACACACACACACACACACACACACACACACACACACACATACATATATATATATTTGTTTTCTGCAAGCTATAGAAGCCTGATGATGGCAGATGAGATTCTGCTGAAACGTTGCCTAGATACTTCGAATCTTACGCGGGAGAAAACCCGAACAACCAAAGATCCACATACAAATACCCGCGAGAACCTCAGAAAACAAATATATATATATATGGCATTCAGCTTTGCTCGGGTATTTTCCCACGGCATAGTAGCTGTGCTTTTAAAGTTGTAGCAACGTTTCAGCAGAATCTCATCTGCCATCATCAGGCTTCTGTATATATGTTCTCTATATATGAAAATACTGATATATATATATGTATATGTATATGTATATGTACATGTATATGTATATGTATATATTTGTTTTTTTAAGTTTTCGTGGGTACTTGCATGTATGGTATTCATCTTTGTTCGGGTATTTTCCCACATCATTATAGTCATTATAGACGAACATAATACAGAAGCCTGATGATGACAGATGAGATTCTGCCAAAACATTACTACAACTTTAAAAGCACAACTATAATGACATGGGAAAACACCCAAACAAAGCTGAATAATATATGTGTATGTATGTATGTATGTATGTATGTATGTATGCATATATATATATATATATATATATATATATATATATATACACACACACACACACACACACACACACACACACACACACACACACACATACACACATACATATATTATTCAGCTTTCTTTGGGTATATATATGTAAATCTAGGTGTGTTCACGTCTATTCCCATGTAAGATTAAGAGTATCTTGGCGATGTTTTGCTGA